TGATTCGTAATAAACCCGTGAAAGTGATAAAGCTGTATCTGATAACTAATCATGTTTTTAAATACCTTAGTCATTTTTAATTTGAATCACCTCATGGAATTCTGCTCCTTGTTGATGTGGATGATGCATCATGGAAGAACACAACTTTGTTAACCTATTGTTTCCACTGTTTTCCTCGTGCTTTTGTCTTCTTGTTCTCAGTTACTTAATGATCACTGTGCCCTCTACATCAAGCCATTAGCAAATTATGTTTTCAGTAGTTCTTGCCATGACATAATTTTTTTTTGCGGAAGACGGGATGCAGAAGACAATAAGCATCTCACAATCATTTCAGGACTGTGCACAATTTTAAATAGCAAAAGTTTTCCTTGCAGAAATATCATTATGATGATAATCATGAAACTTTGAGGAATATTTTTTTCTTTGAAGAGACATTTTACTGTTTAAATGAGCAAATTATTTGGATCAAAAGATATTAATAGTAGTCTTTTCAGTTCTTGCCATGACACTACAAGACCAGATAAATATCTCAATAGCTATGATCTGCACATCATGGAAGCTTTGAGAAATTGTTTTTCTTTCAAAAGAGAGCATTTCACTGTTTGAATTGGCAGCAAAAAAAGAGGTGCTTAATTTGCAAAGCAAGCAAGCTGCAAAAATACAATACCTTCAGGTATTCAACAGAATGATGCAACAGAGGAACAGTGGATTGGCAGAATTGCGGAATAATAAATATGTAAAGATGCGGAACATGTTAAGATGCAGAATGACAGAATATCTTAAAATGCGGAACACCTTTTCTAAATGAAAAAAAAGTGTCAAAAATGGAATAACAGTAAAATAGGAAACTTGTTTATTGTAAACAGGCAAATTAAAAGAAACATTGGTAATCTTTGTTTAAGCCCAGAAGATTAAGGAACCATGAGTCTTTCAAGCTAGCCTCTTTAAATTATTAGCGGGGCTCCTATGCGCCCAAAGCGCATGTGGGGCAGAGCCCCATACGCATGGAATATGGTCAACCTCTTTTTGTTTGGTTGTCACCTGACTGACGGAGCATACGTACATGCGTTCCTGCCTTCAGATTGCATGGTTGTAGGGGAGACTATCAAAACAAAGGCAGGGGTGTCTCAGGCAAGTCTTGGCAAATGCACATCTTTTATGTTATAATTAATCTTCTGAACTTGGGAGCTCGTCTTTTAGGCTTGGCTAAATCTATATGTTATTATATTGATATAATTATGGAGGTGATTACATAAGCATATTTTCCTGGAACTTTGCAATTAAACTGTTTTTCATTTACTTGCTTTCACACACAATCCAATTTGTAATTTTAAGATTGGCCATCTGACCCTATCAATTAATCTGTGATAAATAAATGGTTGAACAGTGGTCTCGGTTGACCTTTTGACCCTGAAAGAGTGACTAGCCTTTAATTTCTCCTTACATTGTAACCCCTGAATTGCACATAATGGTCATGAGAATTAAGGACACGATCAGCAACTACAGGTAGAGGAAGCTCCTGATTGATAAACAAAGTCTCCTTGTTAGACCCCTAGGAAATGTATAGAAAACAGTATGTCTATAGCCTAGGTCTCAAGCCCACTGTTGATATAAGTGTTCTCAAAGTTTTGTACACTCAGAGAGAAATGTCTTCTTTTCCAGATTGTTCATAGGTGTACAATAAAACAATTATTGAATTTGGTGTTGTCATGATAACCTTGTGTCTTTGTTATCTGCCCTAGAATTTGACTTTGGCAGTCAACTGATAAAACCTTGATTTTGATAATTCATGATACCATGTTCAAACCCATTTGATAATTGCTTAATATCAATTAATAGGTTTACCACCTTGGGGGATTTGCATGTTGTTTCACTTTAATATCAATTCCTGACTTCATAGTTTGCTTTCGATACTTGTAATTATTTGGTGAGTATGCTTTGATGTCCCAATGAAGAGCAATGATAAAGTTAAAGAGCCTTAGAGTTCATGAGCATGAGGAAAGAGTGGTTGAAACATTTCATTGAACTTGCAAATTTAGTATGTCATGATGACAACTTCATTATACCCAATAATGTTACTTTGTTACTGTTACGGTTTTTGTATAACGGTGTACTGTGCTTTGAAATTATATCTTTCCAGGAAACTGAAAAATTTGTCAGTCCTGTTTTTCCTGTACTTTGTCTTTTACTGAGGACTGTTATCATGGATTACACTAACATGTGACTGGAAAAGAACATGGAACATCTGGAGATGATGAAGCATTTCGGTGCGACCATACTCAGGTAATGTAGGACCCTCTCTGTACTTGACATTCTGTTCTCGACTATTATTATTGTTGTAGTCAGTTTCATTTTCCTTCTCATTATTATCTTTATATTCCATCGTTGTTGATATTGGTAATGCTTTTTATTCTCTTTGTTGTTGTCATTATTTTTACCTTAAATTAACGGTTCTCTGCAATAAATTTAGCTGCAGCTTATGGCTCAACTAGCGTGCTTCGGATCAAGATGGCTTCTGCCCCACCCTCGCCCCTTGCCAGCTCTGAAGAGAAGACAAATGGATGGAAGCTTAGTAGGCTTCTAATAGATGGAGGAACAACAGTTCTTAGGGATCTTTTTGATCAAATTCATCCCCCAAGAACCCTGAGGAAAAGCCTTGACAGTCACAAAACCACATTAGAAGAACTCTTAAATGAGGGAGTTTTATACACATCTCAGTGGGAAACGCTATTTCCTCGTTCCGGTGCTCCTCCTGTTGACTCTAGAAACTTCGACAACTCTCTTCTGTTTCTTCTCCTCACCACAATTTGTGGACTCTCCCGTCCCCGTTCAGGATGGCACCAGAAACCACAAAAAAAGGATCGTTCTCGTGAGGCAAACCTGGCTCGCATTAAATTTTACAGAAATAAGATATATGGTCACGTCACTACCACAGGGATTGATGCCACAACTTTCACTGATCTGTGGAAGGAAATTAGCGCCGCTCTTCGTAGTCTTGGGTTGCAGCCAACAGATATCGATAGATTGAAGGAAGAACGTTGTGGAGTGGAAGACTATATTGCTTTGCTTTTTAAGTGGAAGGAAAGTGAAGAGAATATCAAGTCACAGTTGCAAAGGATAGATCACGCCCAAACTAACTTGCAAAAATCTGTCGATGGTGTTCGTCAGACCCAATTGTAAGATCACGAAACTATTCAAGAAAACACACGAAAGTTGGATGAAGTTCATCAATTGCAGGAAGACTTGCAAAAAACTGTTGATGATGTAAACCAGAGCCAACTCAGTGGTCATGAGGGTCTCCAGGAAAACAAGGCGAAGTTGGAAGACATACACCTCACCCAATTAGAAGGTAATCGAATTCTTCACGAGAGTCAAACGATGCTTGGAGAGGTTCGTGATAATGTTAAAGACTTGAAAGGTGAAAGAGAAGGCCTGAAGGGTGAAGAAGTCCTCTCAAAACTTGCAAAGATTGACTCTTTCTCTGACATCAGACGCCATGCCAACAGATATGTGCAGGGAACTCGTTTGCCGATATTTGAAGAAATTGAGAGATGGTTAGATGACATTGGTTCACCAAACCGTGTGATGGTCATCAGTGGGAATGCTGGGATGGGAAAGTCTGTTATCTCAGCTGTATTCTGTGAAAAGATGCTTAAAGCTGGAAGATTGTCAGGATGCCACTTCTGTCAGCATAACAAGGCGCGCCGTAGAAACCCCNTAAGCGTTCAGCAGTTCACAATAGGAACACAAGGGGATGTAATGATTTTGTGATCCCCCGATGTAGATTGTCGATGTGACAAAGGGCATTTTATTTTCGCGGCCCACGGGAATGGAATGGTCTACCTGACAACATTAGGAATACTAAAGATATTGATATTTTTAAGCGGAAACTTTTTAACAATATGTTCTATATATAGTAAATTTGGATATACTTTGAATGATTTTAAATACATTTGATTTTAATTAAATTACATTAAATAAGTTAGTTAACATTGTGACCAAAAAGCCCTGTTGAAGGGAGTCTCAGTAAAGTATGTATGTATGTATGTATGTATGTATTATACCCAATAATGTAATTTTGTCGCTATTATGGTTTTTGTGTAATTGTGTACTGTGCTTTCAAAAATTTTATATTTTTTTCAGGAAACTGAAAAATTTGCCAGTCCTGCTTTTCCTGTACTTTGTCTTATTACTGAGGACTGCCATCATGGATAACTAACATGTGAAAGGAAAAGAACATGAAACATCTGAAGATGATGAAGTATTTCAGTGCGACCATACTCAGGTAATGTACGACCTTCCTTGAACTAAACAGTCTTTTCTATACTATTATTGTTATTAAGTTTCATTTTCGCTCTCACTTTTTTTTTCATCGTTATTGATATTGGTATTGCTATTTATTGTCTATGTTATTGTCATTAAAATCAAGGGTTCTTTACATTAAATTTAGCCGCAACTTATGGCTCAACTAACGTGCTTTGGATCAAGATGGCTTCTGCTACACCCTCGCCTCTTGCCAGCTCTGAAGAGAAGACAAATGGATGGGAGCTTAGTAGGCTTCTAATAGATGGAGGAACAACAGTTCTTAGGGATCTTTTTGATCAAATTCATCCCCCAAGAGCCCTGAAGAAAAGCCTTGACAGTCACAAAACCACATTAGAAGAACTCTTAAATGAGGGAGTTTTATACACATCTCAGTGGGAAACGCTATTTCCTCGTTCCGGTGCTCCTCCTGTTGACTCTAGAAACTTCGACAACTCTCTTCTGTTTCTTCTCCTCACCACAATTTGTGGACTCTCCCGTCCCCGTTCAGGATGGCACCAGAAACCACAAAAAAAGGATCGTTCTCGTGAGGCAAACCTGGCTCGCATTAAATTTTACAGAAATAAGATATATGGTCACGTCACTACCACAGGGATTGATGCCACAACTTTCACTGATCTGTGGAAGGAAATTAGCGCCGCTCTTCGTAGTCTTGGGTTGCAGCCAACAGATATCGATAGATTGAAGGAAGAACGTTGTGGAGTGGAAGACTATATTGCTTTGCTTTTTAAGTGGAAGGAAAGTGAAGAGAATATCAAGTCACAGTTGCAAAGGATAGATCACGCCCAAACTAACTTGCAAAAATCTGTCGATGGTGTTCGTCAGACCCAATTGTAAGATCACGAAACTATTCAAGAAAACACACGAAAGTTGGATGAAGTTCATCAATTGCAGGAAGACTTGCAAAAAACTGTTGATGATGTAAACCAGAGCCAACTCAGTGGTCATGAGGGTCTCCAGGAAAACAAGGCGAAGTTGGAAGACATACACCTCACCCAATTAGAAGGTAATCGAATTCTTCACGAGAGTCAAACGATGCTTGGAGAGGTTCGTGATAATGTTAAAGACTTGAAAGGTGAAAGAGAAGGCCTGAAGGGTGAAGAAGTCCTCTCAAAACTTTCAAAGATTGACTCTTTCTCTGACATCAGACGCCATGCCAACAGATATGTGCAGGGAACTCGTTTGCCGATATTTGAAGAAATTGAGAGATGGTTAGATGACATTGGTTCACCAAACCGTGTGATGGTCATCAGTGGGAATGCTGGGATGGGAAAGTCTGTTATCTCAGCTGTATTCTGTGAAAAGATGCTTAAAGCTGGAAGACTGTCAGGATGCCACTTCTGTCAACATAACAACGCGCGCCGTAGAAACCCTAAAGTTATGCTACAGTCCTTAGCCTGTCAGCTCTCTGATTCTTTGCCAGAGTACAGGAAGACTCTTGTGGAAAAGTTGTCGAGAAACCTGGGTGTTGACATCAACGACATGGAAGTGGGAGACCTGTTTGAATTATTATTTGAAGAATCCCTTGAAGGCTTGGATGACCCTGGCTCGACACATCTCCTGGTAATAGATGGCTTAGATGAAAGTGAATACCAAGGGCGTAATGAGCTTCTAAATGTGATTTCCGATGGCTTCAAGAAGCTTCCGCATTGGATTCGATTTCTAGTGTCTACGCGACCTGAAATTAACATCTCAGAGAAACTTCAAGAATTAAATCCCATACAGCTGAAACCAACTGATGTAGAGAATCTGAAAGACATCAAGATTTGCTTTAAGAAAAAGCTAGTGCATGTTCTGGAAGGAGAGTGCCATGAAATCATCCTAGAGAAGTTGATTGAAAAATCAGAAGGAGTTATGCTATATACCTACTATTTGGTAGATTTGATAACGAAGAACTCCCCAAGTTTTAGTCTGGATGAACTGCTGAAAAGTGGATTGCCCTCAGGTTTGTCCTCTGTTTACCAAGTTTATTTCAAGCGTCTAGAAACTGAGTTACAGGAAAAATTGGGGATCACCGAGGACAACTTCTTTGATTTTCTAAATGCTATCGTAGCTGCAAGGGAGCCATTACCGGTCGATTTTGTTTATAAGTTGTTTCTTTCAAAAGAGTGGTCACCAGCCGATCAAAGAAAAGTACGAGCCTCCATTGAATGTATCTCTGCACTTTTACCCATTGAGGGCGAATGCATTCACCTTTTTCACAAGTCCATCAAAGACTGGTTGATTGGGAGCTCTAGCCAAGGGCCACATAGGTTCAGTGTGGACAAAACACGTTGTAATAGCATCCTCTCCAAGCTATGCACTGACGAACTTGATGGAGTAAAGCGAAAGGGTGTCGATGGGGCAAGTTTTAATTGCAGCACAAAGTACGCCCTAAAACATGGTGTTCAGCACTTGCTTGAGTTGGAAGAAGACTTAAGACCTCACAGCCTTGAAGAAATTGTTATTAACTATGTTTCCGACGTAGAACTTGTGTATGCAAAGCTTTGTGTTGACAGCTTCGCAGCTTTAGAAGATATCCTTAGTATTCAGAAAGAAAACAGAACGGGAAGACCAGTTGAAAACTTTCCTAGAGCTGATGTTCTTGAGAACTTGTTGCTACTTTTAAGGAAACATATTGTTACATTAACTGAGCTACCTCGTACCATCTTTCAAACATGTCTAAATGAAGGGGGAACGTTGCTTTCTTCCGAGGCCAGAAACCTTTTGCAAACGACATTTTCTGACATTCCTTATATGGAACAATTGCTAAATGGGGATAATCAAGGACTTGTTGAAACTTGGTTTCAGTGTTCACACAAAGTATCTTGTTTTGACGTTTCACCGCAATTAGACCTCATCGTGTGTCAATGTTTCGATAACGTGATCCAGTTGTGGTCACTAGAAACTGGCAAGCTGCTATGGGAACGCCGTCGTCAAGAACCTGTGGAATATTTGTATCCAAATAACGCTTTAAAAGGTGTTACATCGCATTCTGTTGATATCTGTGGTTTTTACCGATCAGTTGTTTTTCATCCCACTGAGAACGTTGTGTTACCAGGAGAGTTGAGAAAAGTGTATACTTTTACTGGAGTTCGGAAACCACTCTACCCATCGAGCCAGTGTTCTTTCTCAGTTTGTTCCGTTTCTCAAGAAGAGATGGCAATGTTAACTGACTGTCCCGACAATGCTAAATGTATCATCAAGTGGAGTCTTACTGATGGATCAGAGATCACGCGTTTTGTTGCAAGTGAAGATATCTTAACCTTTGCTTGGTCTCGCGGTAAAAATTTGTTGGCAATTTCAGATTCTGCTGGACTTATATCTTTGGTTGATACAACGACTGCTTTTAAAATTCTTTCACAAACGCAAACCCCTCACTATTGTGGAATGATAAAATTCTCGCCCGACTGTCGGTTTCTTTTTTGTAAATATTTTGACTCGATGAACTTGACAAATCACCAACTTGCCTGTTTCCATGTCAAAAAGGATAGTTACGGGAACCCCTCACTAGATGCTTTGTCAGAGCTAGTCTCCTATAACCCGTGGGAGTTTGAATCGTGCAGTGAGAGTGGTTTCTTGTTAGGAGATCCCATATGGTATCCACGTGCGGCCCATATATACCACTTCTTACTGGGAAGTTCTGTAGGGATCTCAAGTTGTCTCTTCACTGAGTTTCCCAAATTGGCGTTTGTGTTAAATGAAAAGTCCCTTTTAAGAGCGTCTCCCAACAGTGATGTTATAGAATTGGTTAACATCGACGAGCTCACGAAAGATAGAGCAGGATTTAAAAAGGCTTTTAAGGAGGGAGAAATTTACTCATTAACAACATTGAAATCTGAACTCACAACACTCAGAACTGGTTTTGGAGAGGCTACTGAGACAAACATGGCATTTTCAGTCAGTGGTGACACAGTTTATGTCTCTTACAATAGAGCAGTTGAAGCCTGGGATCCTTTCAGTGGGAAGCTGAAGGCTAGAAGAAATTATTGTTCCTTCACATTCCAGGGATGGTCTGTTCTAGCTGCTGTAAAGGATGGTGTTTTACTGACATCGACGGGTGAGTATCGAACGAGCGATCTCGAATTGTGGAATTCTGAGCTGACTGCCTGTATCCGTAGCTGGAAGCTTGGGAAAATATTTCGTTTATCCGGCATAACCGACGAGCGCGTGGTTTTGACTATGACATCTGGCGAGACGGCAATTTTAGATACAACTAGTGGGGAAATTGTGAGAAAGGTACGCTCTTCTTTGTCGAAGTTTGTCACGTGCAACAGCCAATGTCAGATGATATGTTCCAAATCATACAACTCACTTCAGCTCATTCAGTGTGATGATAGTGTACTATGGGAAGTGTCTATCTCTATTAGTACTCTTTTACTCTCCACGTGTACATTCTCTCCCAACGAATGCTTTTTTGCGGTATTGGGGCGTACATGGGAGAGAAATGTAGATATTTTCGTAATAGATGCCGTTTCAGGAAGACAACTTAACTTGCTGCGAGCATTTGATGGTCAGCCTTTTTTAATTCCTGAAAGTATAGATGGTAAGTTTGTCAGTGACAAAGAGTTTCTCGTAGCCAGAGGTTTTTTCGTCCGCCTGGTTAATGTCAAGTCTGGGGACCTGTTAAGTGTGATATCAATGGATAACAAAGTGCACAATTTAACAGTATGTCCTCGTAACCGTCTCGTTGGTATAAGATTTGAGAAAGAAAGGCCTGGTTTCAAAGTCATCCAAGTAAAGGCGGGAAATAAAGACAGCAGCAAAGAAAAAAAGGTCAGCTCTTACAACAAGTAATATTATTTATCTAGAAAAAGATAACCGTCGCTTAGAAATTGTTATTTAAAATGGGTGATTCTGATTTGTTATCTTCCTGATATTCTCCGAGAAAAATATTAAGAGTTTGCGGTCAATAGCTATTCATAGATTACAGATTTTGCACAGATTGAAGATTAGATAGGAGTGCTATTTCAGTGTTAGATTTGATTCTATTAACCATGTTGAAGGGAGATTGGCGTTTAGTCAAAGGTGACTCTCTAAAAGGGGAAGATTGAGCATTACTAGCCAAACTCTGTTGCTAATTAACTATTTCTAATCACATAATTCCTACCACTCGATTGTAATTTTTAGTTGTAATTTGTAATTGTTTTTTTTTTGTTTGTTTGAATGTGTAGGAGTCTCGTGAATGGAACGTTAGCTCTGTGAGATCTCTCCTGCCAAATTGTTTTTGGCGAAGCCTATAACTAAATAAAATAAATAAGAAAAATGCATGAAGAGAAATTCTCGTCATTTGTTTTAGTGTTGTCCAGACCGTATTATCCTGTTCTTGCTTACGAATCTATTCTCTATTTCCAAGAATAGAGAAAGGGTTTGTCAAACGGTGAGGAGAGAAGCGAGCAAGAGAAGAAAGTCGCTCGAAGCTCACCATTTTTCGCTAGCCCGGCCTTTTCGTCAAGAAACAAGAGAAAAAGAAGCTAATGGTTATATTGTCCTTCGTTAGTCATCTTCAGATGTGCTTATATGCTTTCTGGTGTCGGAACCAATCTAATAAATTTAAATAAGTCAATTTTGCCAGAGAAATATACGTTTTGAAGTCGATTACAGTTTTAGAATACAGGCTCTTCGATCTACATTTGTGACCAAAATGCCGTCCGCAATGAGCCTTTAAAGGTTTTCTGTAACTCGTAATAAAACTATAACCAGCATCTGGAACTCCAAAACTGCGAACCAGGAAAGTCAATCATTTGTCCAAAATACGACGTGAACTATTTATATGAGCAATTAGCGATGTAATCAGTATTATGGAATACAGTCAACTCTCTCTTAAAGGACACCTCTACAAGACGGACACCTCTATAAGACGGACACCTCTATAAGAAGGACTGCTGGTGCTGGTCCCGGCCGTTTCTTAGTCATTTTACTATAACCAAACTCTCTGTAAGACGGACACCTCTATAAGACGGACAACGGACGCTTTGAAATCTTCAACGGACACTTTGTAAGGTGCTGAATGTGACCGCAGATTACGATGTTGGGAAGAAAACTTCTTAAATTACCAAGTACCCGAGACTCCTTTTAACACCAAACGTTTCATTGACAGCTCTTATCTTGTCGGCGGAGTACAAACAGTACAAGTTAAAATTAAATCAGTCACTGTCTCATTGAAAAAATAACTTGGAGATGACAACCGAATGGTATTGTAATCTAAAACAGTCATTTTCGTGCTGTCTTTTGCTTAAAATTCCTGGGGTCATGTTACGTCGACTCTCTATAAGCCGGACACCTCTCTATAAGCCGGACACCTCTCTATAAGCCGGACATCTCTCTATAAGCCGGACACCTCTCTATAAGCCGGACACCTCTCTATAAGCCGGACATCTCTCTAAGACGGACAGCTAAGGCCGGTCCCGATGGTGTCCGTTTTAGAGAGAGTTGACTGTACCCCATAACACACCTGTGTTGAGAGCGAAGTTAACACAGACCTTCCACTGTCTAACTTAATGTACTTTACGTCCTAATGAGAAATGGCACACTGACTTATTTGTTGACGTAATGTCGACTTTTTTCCTATTTAAATTGTTTCTTTGTTTTGTGTTTCTGCTTTAAACAGGATAAAAATTCAAGAGAAGAAAGAAGGACTTGAAATTTCTAGACGAACTCAGTCGACAGGCAGTCCAGGAGCATTAGATTAAGTACACCACTACATTAAGTTTTCGCATAAACTGTTGTTCTCTTTTTCATATTGAGGAAGACAGTTTCATGCTAGTTTGAGCATCTTTAGAAGAGATATAGATATAAATACTTTTAGAGCTAATTGAGGAGTAGCCTATCCGCTGCCTAGTTTTAAAATAGTGATGTTGGTAAAGCATATGAGCAAAGGCAAGATCAGTTGTAGTAATTAACTCCCTCTAGGGGATCCTCCTATGCATCACGAAGGGGATGGTCCTTGGAAAGTTGTATTTTTAACCCTGTAACTCACAATATTTGTTTGTTAATTCTCCCCACTGCCTGCCACACAAAATTAGTTACAAGAATATACAAGAATATGCTGTTCGATCAAGACAACAACTTTTACCAGATAAATTTAATTATTCTCATTTCCTGCTTGCTGGATAATGACTGGATGTTAAAGGGATAATTTACATGTTAATCACTTCTAGGATTTAAAGGTGATAAAAGCTCCTAGAAAAGTTAACTTTGGGCTTTACACTCCAAACACGACGCAGAATTTTTTTCTCTCTTATCAAACAATTTGTTTGCTGAAACAGTGAGATAGCAATTTTAAGTTATTTACAAACCTTGAGATACCTTTAGAGCTAACATGTTACTTTCTCGTTCCTAAAACTGTAACTGAGAACATAAGTTTTTCCTTTCGGTAATTGTAAGTTGACAATTAATTAGATGGGAATCGCACCTTGATTTAGTCACTTCCAGCAACTGTGGTTGTAAGTTCAGGGTGATCTTGGGTTAACGGGAAGGTAATCTGATGCGTGAAATATCTATAGAAAAGGGGATTCGGAAAGATTTTGCTGAAGCATTTAATTTGCGAGCGTGTATCAGATCTTAGATGATAAACACCAAAAGGGAACGTAACATTTTGTTTATCTAAAAATTCTTAGTTAACAAGCTCGTGCACAAATCAGTGATCCTAATTTTCGTTACCTTTGACAACGAAAGAAAGAAACAGCAAAAAGGAAAAAAATGAGAGATTTGTGAACATTCCAATTCAGTTCGTATCTTAATTATTCAATTTCAAACTTGAATTTGTTCACAGAAACAGTAGGATGGCAGTTTAAATATGTAATGAATTTATGTAAAAAAAATTAATTTGTATTTTAATGATTGTAAGATGTCAAGAATCCAAGGCGACCAGAGAGTCTAATTTTTTTTAAGTACTTTGATAGCGGTACATCAGCATCTTCAGATGTATTTCACGCTTTTTTTTAACAATTTTTCGCCGAAGGCAAACTAACAGTTACTGAATAATCTCAGAGAAGAAGTCAAGGGATTACTCAACAATATTCAGTGATCCTGAGGTGACTAGTGTTTTAGAATAATTTCCTAGGTTCTTACGAATTTTGTTACAAATTATTTTTGTAGTCAAAGCCATTCTGTAAATAAAGAAAGCTTTACCCATATTTTGTCATGATGGTTTAGAGAGGGTGACGCATCTCCCATGATGTTTTTTACCAATCAAACGTCACGTAAAAAGGAGAAAGTACGCTAAGCCATTACTATAAGATTTCAACCCATCGGATGTATTATTATTTAAAATTATGTTGCATTCAACGTTTTTTATTCTGGAATGAATTGCCTTCCACCTGCCATCTTGCTTTTTGTTAGACAATTAAAGACGACTTACTTTTTGAAACTAGATGCTCCAAGGGCGTCTTCATGGGCTTAGCATCGCGATATCCCCAGGGGAAGAGGGCGAATGACTTTCAGACCACCTGGATCAAAGAGCGTTCATTACAGTTTCACCTATGTGAACACTCCTTGTCAGCATATAACAGGTTTGTGAATAAGACCAAGAGTGACTTTTGTCATAACGGCATGTGATTTGTAATTCCAAGTCTTTTTACCATTCATATTCCATTCCTGAATTTTCACCCTCCAAATTCCGGGCTAGTTCCAGTCATTTAGTCTTGCGGACGCAACTGTATTGCATATTTCATTTTGCTTCGGAAAACATACTTACTAGAGCGAGGCGTATTCCTAGTTTGATGTTGTTTTTGTCGGTAAAACCGAACCTTTTTCTTGTCAGCGAGGTTAGTCAGCATAGAATTATTAGTGATCTCTCTATTTTCAGAAATATCTAAACCTGATGTTCGTTAGTTTGGCTGATTTCACTTGTAACAGGTTTATGTCCGTGTTCGATTTTTACGGTAGTACTGTACTGCACGGTGGTTCGAAGCATAGAAATGCAGTCAGTTTTGCGTTGAATTTTTTGTGCTGGATAGTGAAAAATAGAGCGGTTTGCAATGATTTCTTATAGGATTTGCGCTCATGAGGGTAATATCAGAGAAATTAGGATCTTGTGGTGGACTACACAAGGATTCTAAATCACCCAGTCAACTGGTAAGCGTCGTTCTTAACTTCAGAATACCCGTCCACCTCATTTACATGTGTCGGGAGGCTTTGAAGAATGAGGCATGACACAATAGATGCAGTTCTTATTTAATGAAATGTAAATGAGTATCCTAAAGTTTAGCCTTAAGGGAGCCCGTTCTTAATAATACAATTGAATACGATTGAAATTGCGATGGACGCGTTCCCATTAATATCGGTCAACTGATTTGGTTAAATTCCTGAGGTAGTGCATGTTTTACGTAGATTTCATCATGTCTAGATGTTTCATAATTTTCCCAGTGCTTAATTTAGATTTCCAGATGAAATAATCAGTGTCCCCTAAGGGAGAAACATGACTGCAGGTAAGAATGTAAACCTCATAACATGTAATTGAAAATTCTTCAATACGAAAATTGATCAACTTCAGCTTTTTTGCACTAAACTTTCCACAAGTTTTGGAAGATTTCCTCTGTTCAAGGAATCATTTTAACTAAAACTGCTAAAGAGCTAAGTAATTAAGATTCAATAATCTCAGTCCTTATAGGTACACCTGTGATTATTAAAATGTTTTTAGAATTTCAATAGTGAATATTTCACAGACTTATTAGTGAAATGGAACAGTAAACTTTGTGAGTTGAGCAGATTTTTCTGAGCACAAATGTATTAAGTTTAGTTTTCACTAATTTGCATTTTAATGCAGTCAGTGTTTGTAACTAAATGTCAAACTTGTCAGCAACTTCACTAGGTGTGTATATTTCCAATAATTTTCAGGACACGATCACTGAAATGAGTTCCTATATTTCTACATAAAATCTATGGAATGAAGAGTTGATTGGTTTGCTTGTGAAGCAGTACTTGTATTACTATAAGCGTTTGATTTATAGTACCTTAATCCTGGGGACGCTTAATTCCTACTGCCAATGTCAATGCATGAGCTTCTAAACTGTAAGCAAAATTTTTTCTGAAGTAAATTTCAACACAAACTTGAGGTTTGTGAACTATTAACAGTTTTTTCTTGTGTTTCAGCAGTTTATGCATGCTAGTGTCCATTTGTCTCATGCAAACAGTATTGTATATGAGGCCAATTTGTGTTCTACAATGTAGGCATCATGATTATTAATTCATTATTTCCTTTGAGATGTTGAGATGTTGATTGTTAATTCATTGATTCCTTTGAGATGTTGATTGTGGAATGTTTAATGATACAGGCTACTAAAGCAGGGAATTATTCATCTTGTAAGGAATGTGGAAGTTTGACATTATAGATGCTTCACTGCTCACCTTTAAAGCAACTTTTTGTGAATTAATTAGGCAAATGCTACTCCAGGCTCATTATGTAGTACTAGCTACAATCAGCAATGTTCAAAGCATTATGTTAGTAGGAAACAGAATAAGAAAGAAAATAAATTTTGAGCTCAGATGTGATACATCTTGTCAATAGCACAAGACAAAGACAAAAAATTTCAGTCATCCTATAACATGAAGACCATCACATTCTAGGTCTCATGGAATGCTCCACCTCCTAGCATCAAATATTTTATGGTCAGTTTTGCCAAAATTGTTTCAAAATTATGTGACCTGTGTCACTGGTGCAGTTGCTAAGATCTACAATTTCAAAAGCATCCTATGAGAATAAGAAAGGTGGTACTGTAAATGTTTAGTTTGTACTGGTCATTTTTCTGCACTAGGAATTAATTATTTATTACTTAAAGTGTTTAAAAAAGAAAGTCAACTTTTAGTTCAAAAGAAGCATCTATACTCATTTATGAGGATCCATACAGGTTAATGCCAATCACGGGGGGGGGGTTTAATTACCCAACTTATTGCTGCCTAAAGAATCATACGTATGATGCATGATCCTCGCAGTAGATAGCGCTATTTAAGCAATAGCAAAAATCAGACCTGAAAAAAATCAGGCCTGTATGGGATTCGAACCACAGACCTCTGCGATACTAGTGCAGTGCTCTACCAATTGAAATTCTCTACCAATTGACAATCCTCTACCAGCGCTCTAACAAGCCAACTGAGAGCAGGCTGTTAAGTTGATTCGTAATAAACCCGTGAAAGTGATAAATCTGTACGGGATTCGTGGTTCGAATCCCGTACAGGCCTGATTTTTTGCAGGTCTGATTTTCGCTATTGCTTAAATAGCGCTATCTACTGCGAGGATCGTGCATCATACGTATCTAATACCGCAGTTCAAAAGATATGAACTTCATATATTTCACTATATCTGATTTATCACTTTCACGGGTTTATTACGAATCAACTTAACAGCCTGCTCTCAGTTGGCTTGTTAGAGCGCTGGTAGAGGATTGTCAATTGGTAGAGAATTTCAATTGGTAGAGCACTGCACTAGTATCGCAGAGGTCTGTGGTTCGAATCCCATACAGGCCTGATTTTTTTCAGGTCTGATTTTTGCTATTGCTTAAATAGCGCTATCTACTGTGAGGATCTTGCATCATACGTATCTAATACCGCAGTTCAAAATATATGAACTTCATATATTTCACTATATCTAAAGAATCATGTTACAACTTTTCCACAAGCTCAAAATAATTGTTAGGAAAATTTTCCCAATCAACTCCTTTGTACTCATGGTTGTTTCATACCCAGGCACTTTCTTCCCAGCTGGTTCAATTTGTACCTAGTCAGTTGAATACTTTGGTACCCAGTACCCATTTTAATAATGTTAACTCTTTAACTCCCATGAATGACCAAAACAGAAATTCTCCTTACAATATCAAAACAAAATCAAACAGGCAAGTGATGGGAGTAAAGAAGAGTGTCAGTTATGGGACTACCATCTTACTAAGAACTAGAATTTCAAGCAATGGGCAACAGACAGTAAGGAGAAATACTAAATTCTAATAAAAGATATCTTGGGAGTGAAAGGGCCAAGTGTGTTTAAAGTTAGCTAGGATAAATTAAATCATTACCATTGATAACAAAGGAGGGGAGGGAGGTGGAATCACACTTACATTTCTTTAGATTTTATTATTAAAAAAGTGTCAAGTATAAACAACAGACTTTTGGATTGAAAATATCACACTTACCTTTAAATGTGGTAGGAAATAATTTTTTTTGGAGATCACAAGTATCCATTACGCAAAAGAATTCTTCCTGTATTTTACTTGCTTGCCTTTGCTAATGTGTCATCCAGAACAACTTGACATCTATTTGCGTGCTTGTGCGTGAGGTATTTTGAATGAATGCATTTTGGGACAGTTGTGAATCAACCAGCAGTTTGGGTACTAACTGACTCAAATTGGGGGCAACTGAGTGCAAAATGACCAGTGATACAAAATGACTGGATACTTAACAAATGTGTAGATAACAGTATGGAGAATAATTGCAGACTGATGTAAGGGCATAAAGAGTTAAAAATTCAGAAAGCTAAGAATTTTTATTTTTGTGATAAATGTAATACAATTTATTTTAAAAACACAATGTAATTGTTTTTCTTATGATGTGGCAATTTGGATGTGGATCACCAATTATTTTGACTGCATACTGCTAGTCTTCTTCAAGTGATGAGGTTAATGAGTACACATTGTTTAACGTGTTGTGCGTAGCTGTGACTGGATAAAATTCCATGGCTGTGGTCTCCTGCTGTAAGAGTTGTGTTTTTTATTATTGCCATGATGGTTTCTAAATGCAACATAATGTTCTCTTCATTAAATATGCAAAAAAAAGTTTAAAAAAATAATTATCTCTTTGAAAGTAAATCAAAAGAAATTTTTATGGGTGTCAAAATGATATGCTGCTCTTCCTTAGGTTATGCTGTTAAGATCACAATCACACTGATTGTACACAGAACCAACTCTAATGAAGTGTTCACTCTATTTCTTTCTCTTGTGTTTGATCTTATTGTATTACAGTAAATGTGTTAGGAAAATGAAATTGTGGCTAACTTAAGCAGTCATGCAAAAGCAGTGAGGTACCTCTTCTGACCCATGAGTTTGATTTCATACAACTTTGCACCACTTGTCATTTTATTTCTTCTTGATTGATTACAAGTGTGATGTAAGCTTTCATGCCCATCTAGTTATAGTAGTTCTAATGGGGC